CGGCAGGGAGTCTGCTTCTCCCTCTGACCCTCCTCCCTCTCATGCTCTCTGTCTCTCATTCTCTCTGTCTCAAATAAATAAATAAAATCTTTAAAAAAAAAAAAAACATGATGTTGAATTCTAAGGGTGTGGAATTGAGAAAAAGAGAGAGGGTGATTTATCACACCCTGGCTTCTGTCTTCCACCAGGGCTTGTGGATATGGAAACCAGGTCATCCCTGACGGAGGCACTGAGGGCTATGTCCTGACTCCTGCCTCGTCATGAGCTCCAGCCCGGAGGGGCGGCCTCGTGGACGTGGTCCCTGATGCTGCCAGAGGTCAGCACAAGGCCACGGCTGCAGACACCAATACATTTCTCTCAGGGAGCTATTCATTTCAGGCTGCAGAGGGCTTGCTTCTCCTGATCGCCAAGCAGGACTTGGAGCATTCTGCAGACAGCCGGGCCCGGAGCAGGCCCTCCCCGGCTCTTCGGCTGCACCACAAGCAGCCTTTATTTACTCTGACCCCTCTGAGACCGACGTCTGGCTTTCAACCTCTAAAGGGACATCCTTTCTCTCTATTGCCTCCTCGCATTCCACCCCCTCTAGGCCTTCACTCCAGGCCTCAGCTCTCATTTGGTCCATCGTACTGGCCTCCTAACTGGCCTCCCCGCCTCCTCTCCAGCCTCTTCTCACGGATCCTCTGCAGACAGAACCATTTTTCCAAACTGCTGATGTCTGATGGCTTCCTATGGTTTCCAGAAAAAAGTCCAGATACTGTAGTCTGATATTTGGGACCCTCCCAATCTGGGTAGGCTACATCTAACCTTATTTTATATTCTTCTCCTATATGCCTTTTTTTGCCCCAATCATACTGAGTGAGCTTCTTGACATTCGTTTTTTGTGTTCCCAGTGTGTTATTTTAAGTTTCTAAGTCATTGCAGTGGCTACTACTTTTGGATGGCATTTTTCCCTTCTGCTTCACTTTTGAAACTCAGCTCAAATGTCAGCTTTGTGATGTCATCTTCCCATAGTCTCTAGAATTAATCATCTCCTCCCTTTGATTCTCACACTGCTCTCTTCATACTCTTCATAAACATTTGTAAAAATGTCCTTTTCCCCCACCAGATGATGAGCTCTTTTCATGCTGAGTCTGTGTTTATTCAGCTCTGCATGCCCAGTGCCCAGTTCAGTTTATGACACAGTATCTGCTCAATAGACAGATGTATGGATGTTTGGATGGAAAGACAGGTGTATGGATGGGTGGTGGGTGGGTGCACAGATGGATGGATAGATGGGTGGGTGGATGGATGAATGGATGCATAGGTGGGTAGGTGGGTGGGTGGGTGGATGGATGGATGGGCAGATGGATGGGTGATGGATGGATGGATTAGATGGAAGATGCATGGATATGTTAGTAGATGGAAGGAAGGAAGGAAGGAAGGAAGGATGGATGGATTAGTGAGTGACTGTATAGATGAGATAGGGAAAATATATCCCAAATAGATTTAAAAGCTTGAAGTCCATTTAAGGACAACTGTTTTGCCTGCAGTGGGAAAGTTGCAATTGATTTTGTGATAAAACCAAAGGAAGTTGAGATATAAAATAGGAAGGGAAACTTGTTTTGCTCCCTGAAGAAGCATAGGCTTCCAGAGAAATTGTAGGAATCACAATAGAATAAGTGAAAAAGAAGTCAGGCTCTCCCTGCCAACACTCAGAAGACAGGAAGGAAGGAAGGCTGGGAGAAAACCATTGTAGCAGAAAGGGTAAGTAAAAGTCCAAGCCCTGCTCATCTCTGAATTGCCCAGAGCCCAGCTCAGTGGACAGCACACAGTAGGTATTCAATAAATGCTTACTGAATGAGTGAGGAAGCATATGTGTGAAGCACATATTGAACCCAAAAGCAGATATATTCTCTCCTAGGAGCTGTAAGTGATCTGGCGGAAGTCCTTGTCTCTGAGCATCACCGAGAGAGAATTCTGTGATTTCTATGAATGTCAAGTTTTACCTAGGTGCTCAGGTAACACGCGTTGATTTTTCTCTTACTCATTTTGTGTGTGTGGTACTATCATTCTCAAACACTGAGTGTTTGCAAATGTGCAGCTCTGGGCTGTCAAGTGGAAGCCCTTTCCCCTCCTGAGTGTGGAGGCTTCAGCCAAGAGAATGAACCTATCTTCCCTGACGGTGGGACCAGAATAATCAGACAGGGTACCACAGCTGTGTTTCACCTGCCCCCAGGGAATATTAGGTGCTGAGGCTCTGAATGGAGGTACAGCTCCAATTCTACAGAATCAAAACAAGGGGCGCCTGGGTGGCTCAGTCCGTTAAACGTCTGCCTTCGGCTCAGGTCCTGATCTCAGGGTCCTGGAATCAAGTCTCACGTCGGGCTTCCTGCTCAGCGGGGAGCCTGCTTCTCCGTCTCCCTCTGCCCCTCCCCCTGCTGGTATTCTCTCTCTCTCTCAAATAAATAATAAATAAAAACCTTAAAAAAAAAGAATTAAAACAACAAAATGTGATGGGAGACAAGGAAATTTCCTCACCAAAGATCTCCTGGCTGTTGAGAGGGGGGATGTGCTTGCACTGGATGGATTCAGTTGCTAAAGAATTCAGCTGGCTTAGATATTTTGGGTCTGTGATTAGAAAGATACAAACACAAAATTCACTTTCCATATCCTTCAGATACGGGGAAAAAGGAACTGTCCTCTCTATCATAGGGCTCTTTAGGTCAACACAACACTTACGAAACATTTGCTGTTAGCCAAGAACTGAGTTAGTGCCAACTGGGGGAACGCAGAAGGAGCAAGCATGGCCCCAGCTCTCAAGGAGCACTGTGGGGAGGAAGACGAGACAATAACCCAGGGCGGTTCCACATACCCAAGGCCCCAGTGGAGGCATAAGTGCCAGGGGCTAGGGGCCCACTGGGGAAGGAGTTGTGCTTCGTCTTACATGGAGAAATCACGAAAGGCTTCACAGAGGAAGAAGGCTTAAGGGAGGGAAATGGACAAAAGAAAGGGTGTTCCGGGCAGATGGATTAAATGTTGGGGCAAGGCCAGTGCCGAAAGGGGGTGTGAAAATAGTCTAGATGGGGGATGCTGGGAGGAAGTCTGAAGTGGAGTGATGCATTAGGGGTGGGGAGAGGCAGACAGAGTTGAGAGGCGTGCAGGGGTGGAGGTGCCTGGGCTGGAGGGAAGACTGGGCACGAGGGATGGGAAGGCGGAGTCACTTGCAAGGCACCATTCCCAGAGATGGGAAACAAATGGGAAGCAGACTTGATGGTGACACCAAGAGGACAGACTGGACTGTCCTCTCCGGCGGTGAGTCCTCTATGCCGGAGGACGCTCAGGAGGAAACATCTGGATAAATGGATCTGGAGCTCAGGACAAAGACCAGAATGGAGATGCAGGTTTGAGAGTCATCCGGGGATGCATGGCAGGCCCTGGTGATGCCTTTTGAAGTCAACGACCATGAGTGGGGAGGCTGTAACAGGCGTGGCACACAGAAGTCTCACCCCTGCGGGTTCATCTGTTCAGCTGTGGGTTTTCAGCTGCCCCGATGGCATCACTTCCGCCATTATTCACCTGCCTGCCTAGCTTGTCCAACGTACTCAGAGCTGCAAGATTAAAAGGTGGTAAACAGAGCTCAAATGGCCAGGGTCAGATTCCAACAGCAATGCAAAGGAGTCAGGAAAGGGGGGGACCATTACGTCACAGGCTTCCTGGGTCAGGGGGCTGGAGGAGGCCTCCACCAACTGCTGGGGTGGGTGGGTGGGGCTCTTCTGTGCTCGGGAAGAGCTTCAGCTTGGCCAGATTTCTGAGTTGGAGAGTGAGCCCTTCATAATGTGCTCTGACAGCCAGAGGTGGCTTTTCCTACATACTGTTTTATTTATTTATTTTTAAAGATTTTATTTATTTATTTGACAGAGAGAGAGAGAGGGAGAGTGTGAGAGCAGGAACACAAGTAGGGGGAGTGGGAGAGGGAGAAGCAGGCTTCCCGCCGAGCAGGGAGCCCGATGCGGGGTTCAATCCCAGGACCCCGGGATTATGACCTGAGCTGAAGGCAGACGCCTAACGACCGAGCCACCCAGGCGCCCCGGAAAGAGCTTCAGCTTGGCCAGATTTCTGAGCTGGAGAGTGAGCCCTTCATAATGTGGGAAGAAAAGTCTCTTTCATTAGGAACAAGGGCTGCTGAGATTCGGATATTCACCTTCTCCCCACCCCTACCACAACCCTAAATGACTCCGACACCTCGCCTATCCCACATAGGATACACTATCCTAGGCTTGACCCTTGACCCTGGAGCCAGTGGCAGCGGGGAGAGAGGGAGCCTAAGAGCATCCCATTGCCTGCTCTGACAATCACCAGCTGTGTGACTGGGGGTACGACCCTTTAGTCCCTTCTGCCTTACGTCCTTCCTGCCAGGGGCAGGAGGCTAGTTTTGTTTTGTTTAGGACAGATACATTCAAAGAAACTGGGGTACAGCAGATGGCTCTACTTCTTGTCCAGGCACACCCCCCAGCTACACACACCCATGTGCACACACACAGGCTGCCACTATCCGACTCCCTGAAGGCGTGGGTCCACAGAGCGTTACTCGGGTTAGGATTTAAGATAAAGGAGGGGCAGGAAGTAACTTTTATGGGGTCCCACCATGGGGCAGACGCTAGGTTGTGCATTTTTTCTACGTTACCTTATTTAGCAACCTCACAGAATTCTATGCAGGGATTCAGAGAGCCTAAGCCACTTGCCCAAGGTACCTAGAGGCAGGACTTGAACCCCGGGGGGGCCTGGCTCCCGCTGCTAGGCTCTTTCTCTCCCAGTGCACTTCCTGGGACACAGGACCTCTACTACTGTGCGTCTCCGCAGACACCCTCTGGTCTGGGCTGCAATCCAGCTCCTCCTACCTGGCTGATGTGCTTAGAGCTCACGGACACAGGCTTCTCCAGTCCCATCCTCCTGCCTCAAGTCCGCTTCTCCGATTCCCATCACCCTCCGTTTTCCACCCAGCCCAGGATGCAAGGTCTCACCTGCAAAATCTCCTTTCAGCGGACTGTCCCGTATCATTTCTGATCGACCGGTGACTTCTCAGACTCCGTCTTAGACAGTACGTTTACTTCCTATTGTCCAGCTGCAGTTCTCCTTCGGACAGGATCAAACTGGGAGCTGTCCCCTCGGTCTTCAGCGGGAGGAAACTGATCCCCCAGCCAGCTCCCACGAGGCGGCCCCTGGTCAGGGATCCAGTGCCCGCCGAGAAGGGGGCCCTTGGGGCTGAACTAACTGAGCCCACCTTAGACTTTCCAGAGAAACGACCAGATGGCGGGAGCAGAGGCGCGGAAGAAGCGGACCTTCCGCAGGTTCACCTACGGCGGCTGCGGGGACCTCGACCGGCTGCTGCCTACGAGTTGCTGATGCAACCTCTGCGGACATCTGCGCGCGGGACTGTGGAGGAAGCGGCCCAGCGGCTGAGGCGCCTGCGCGAGCCCGGGAGGCGCGGCGGGGGGAGAAGCCCAGGGGTCAAGGGCACCTGCACCTGCTGGGCCGCGGGCCACGTGGCGGGCGCGTCGGCCACAGCAGGACCTCCAATCGGGTGCAGATGGAGCCTGAAGTGATTGGCCACAGCTGGGTGAGTTCTCCATCCCCTGCAGGCCTGTGAAGCTGCCGCCGGGCATTGGGGCCGCCCACTCCTCCCGCTTCTCGCAAGCAGCCTGCTCAGCCAGTAAGGGCACAGGCTTCTCGGAAGGGAGGAAGGGAGGGAGGGAGGGAGGAAGGAAGGGAGGAAGGACTGTACCCTTAGGGCTGTACCCTCACTCCCATCTCTGGGCCCTGGGCTGTGCTTTTCCCGTTTCCCCACATCTAAAATACAGATCTGCGTGTGTTTTCTGTTTGCCCACATTTGTCTCCGACTTTGGGTTGGAGAGTAACCCTTCTGCTCTGAGCCTTTTCTAGAGACTTCCAAGGGAGGACTGCAGCCACCGTCCATGATTTTATCTCTGAGACCAGGGAAAGAACTGGTCAGTAAGTCAGTGACTGACACTCTCCCTGCCTGCCTTCTGGCCTCTTTCTGCCTAGCCTGTGCAATGGCAAGGGACGGGGCTCTGGGGGTGTCACAGATGCCACCGACGCCCTGCCCATCTCCTCTTACGGCTCACCGCCTGACACTGACGCCTCCCTCTGCGCCGTCTGCAGTTCTCTGCCGGGCCGGGAGGCTGGACCTACTGCGGAGTGGCCCCGCCTTGCAGCAGCCCTTAGCCCATTATGGACGGGAGTTGGAGGATAGACACCCAGCTTTCTTGTCCCTCGCATGGGACAGCTCAGAGGCATAGTCTCCACTATCAATGTCCCCTGTGAGATTTCCCTCCATTCCCTGCATCAGTCACCTGCTCATTTGCTCACCTGAGTCAACGCTCTTCCTGTTTCCGGCTCACCCCTCATGCCCCTAAAAGTAATTCCTGTACAAATTGCCGGGACTCCGATCCTTCCCAGAGTCTGCTTCTGGGGGAACCCGATCGAAGACAGGGTCCTAAAGCCGCTGTACGAGGCAGCTCTGGCGTCTCTGCAGCTCTTTGAAAAGGGGCACAGCTGCCAAATTCCCACAGGAGTTCCAGGACCAAGGCAGTGTGCATGCCAAAGCACCAGCAAGTGCAGGAGTGAAGAAATGCTTAACATAGTCATCTCTAATGGAAGCAAGTTACGGAGCTAATAATACTGATATTTTCAATGGACCGAATTAAATTATGCTGCCCATCTTGTATCTTAATTAAAGGAATAAAAACGGTTTCACATTTTAATTAGCAAGTATGTCTTGAAAAGACTTAAATTAATATGGGAGTCATCACCAGGAAAGCAGCCCTCTGCGAAGATTCATGAGGCCAGAGAGAGCATGGAGCACAGAATGGGGTTCTCGTCGTGAATGAGTGCAGCCATGGCTGGAACTCGGAAACCTTGGCTCTTTGAATTTTCTGAAAGGATAAAAGCAGGAGTCAGGTGGGTAGCTGGGAGGCATGACTACTTCCATCTCTAGAAAGATCCACTTTCTACATCTTCTTTAGGACATTTGAACCCTAGATCTAGAAAACATGAGTGTAACAATGATCCTTTTTATAATGACTCTGCCTTGGCTGCCTTCTTGCATGAGAGTTCTTAGAGGTTCTGGAAGCCCTGTTGGCAGAGCCTGAGAACAAAAGGGGCTCTACCCATGAGCTGGCCTAACAAGCCCTTGAATAAATGTCCTGTGCAGGTTTCAGAGAGGAGTCAGGCTCCCAGGGCTGTGTGTTTCCTGTGGTTTGGGGTCATGCTAAGTCTTGCTGCAGGCAGGTTGGCAAATTGGTTTCTTCTTTCTTTTTTTTAGTTTTACTTTTAAAAAGTTCACAATACTTGTTTAAAAAAATTGAATATACGTGAAGCAAAGAAGAAATTTCAACCCCAAAAGCGTTATACCAGCATCCGGAGATAATCACTGATAACATTTTGATGTGGTTTTTCTACCTCTTGGCACCTCCTGGCTAATGTTTCTGAGGCCCCTGGGGAATGCGGGAGGGGGGTGGATGGAGCACAGAGCTCAAGTCCTCCAGCAGCGTCTGCTTCTCACTCCTGCTCCGGTCGCTGCCATACCCCTCACTACCTTCCACCACTCCAGTTTGCCGTTCCAGGTGTTTGGTTCCCATGAACCAAACCACGAGCTGGCTTGCTCCCCCTCCTCCATTTCCCACAGGACAGTGAACCCAAGTCTCTTGTATCATGACCTGTGTGCAAGGGTTTGGATCAAATGGGGTTTTGAGATGGAAAAGTTAGATTAGATGTCATTATTCCTCCCTTAAGGACTCTTCACTACCTCTCTCTCCCTGGTCCAAGGTCCTGCCAGCAGATCGCTTGGCTCTCTCTCTCCCCAAACACTTCTCCAGTCTCCTCTCTTCTTGGTTGTCTCAGTTTCCCAAACTCCTTACTTGAGTTGCCAAGGGACCACTCTCAAGTTTCTGTTACTTCATTGTGCTAGGTACTTGAGTTGCTTTTTTGTCTCCATCTCTCACATATGGACTAGCTCAACACCTTTCCTTTCCCAGCCAGGAGGCCAGGAAGTTTCTAAATCCAACAGCCAACAACTGTTGAGATGACTTTGCCAGCTAGAAGACAGAAGTAGTTGGAGTTTTATTTCATTTTATTTATTATTGTATTTTCTCCTTCCCCTGAAATAAAGTCTTTAATGTTGTTGTTGTTGTTGTTGTTGTTGTTGTTGTTGTTATTGTTTTTTTTTAAACTAAACGGGGGTTGGGGGAGTGGGATGGGTGTGTAAAGTGAAATGGGAAGTGAAAATCTTACTCAGGAACCTTGGAGAATTTCAAGGCTTTTGACACCTTCTGCCCAGTTGCCCTGTGGAAAGGAGTACCGTCTCCTGTCCCTCCAGCACACCGGTGTGAGGGTCTGTTTTCCGCCAGCCTGGGCAGCTAGGGATGATAGAATGCGGAGGGGGAAAGAATGAACCGTTTTGATGGGCGGAAGTCACCCCTGCATGTTGATGTGATTTCGAGAGCAGTCTCTGAGCTGTTGTGTGGGCCGAGCCTGGAAAGCAGGAGCCCTCCTTGGAAACCCACATGTCACCTATTTGACATCAAACTTCCGAATGGAATCTTAAATTCTGCACAGCCATTTATCAAAGAGTTTCCAAATGTCACTATCCAATTTGCATCAGACCTTTTCTGCATATTAATGTGATTCTGTAACTAATGTATATATGTTTGCGGCTCTACCTAAATTTGCATTTGAAACTCTAATGAGGCTCCAGGGTGAGCCAGCTCCCTGGGGATAAAGCATTCGGTTGCTTCCCCATGTGGTCCGTGAGGATGTCCTCAAAGGGTCACAGAAAAGTCAGAATCCGCTCAAGCAGCCGGCTGGAGGTCTCTGTCATCTCTGGTGCTCAATTTGGGCTCTGGGCCAACTCTTGACCTGTACGTCCTCTTGTCCTGGGGAAGGCCTGCTCTGGTTTGTTTGTTTTTCCTCAATCGAAGAAGATGAGCCTGCGGTCAGAGGGGTTTGGCCCCCTACTTTTGCCCAGGGGTTTTGCCAGTGGGGGGCTCCAGGGCCCAGAACTAAGTTAGAAGCTTCTGTAGAGGTAACTCAGGGCAGGGAGAGCCAGAACCAGCCCAAATCCGAGTTCTTTGGGAAAACTTTTCCCGATGTCTGATGCTTTTGCTGCATTGTCCAGGGCCTGCAACAGATGCCTTGGAACATCACTGTCCTGGGCAGGGCCTCCACTTGGAGCCCATGGGGTTTGCACTCCAAAGAAGCCTCTGGAGTGTTTACTGCTACTCATTCTGTCACACTCTACCCTCTCCTCCCTTTCCCAGGCCTGAGCTTGAAGATAAGATGGTGCTCCCATTGGGACCTTGAAGGCTTGCTTGGAGGTTTTGGAGGGGAGCATTTGACCCTCTGTCAACTGAATCCCAGTGCGGAAGGCCTGACCTTTCTAGCTGAGCATGGGGCTCCCTGGTTGATGTCAGGTTACCTCAGGCCCTTTAAACCAGCCTCCCCTCACGCCCGGTCAGGCACTGAGGTCCCACCATCTCTCGGAAGGGAGCCACAGCCCCCCAGCATGATAGCAGGTGCCCTGGACTCTCCTTGTTCATCTGTGGCCTGCTTTCTCTCCAAACTCCATTTTGCCCCATTCTGAATCCTTGGCTCCACACCCAGATTTTGATTCTGTAGCTTGAGACTTTGGACTTGGTGTCTATGCTTTGTCTCCAAGGTATCTGGATCTCAGCTTCTCTGGGACTCATAAGTACCAGGTTCTCTGCTTTTCAGGCTCCAAGATGCTATCAGGAGGAGTTCCTGTCTATGCTCAGTCCTGGCCTCTGAACTAGGCCCCTCAGCCAGGGCCCCTCAGGGCCAGGGACGGGCTCTCCTTCCCTCCTGTGCATTGGCGCACAGCAGGAGTAGTGTGGAGAGGAGAAAAAGAAGGGGACCCTTGCGCTCTGTATCAGAGAAGCTGAACCCAACCTGGAGACAGTGGGGTGGTAGCTAGCCAGCCCCTACCCCCATCCTTTCAAAAGGATAGTCAATTCATAAAGATGGGGTCAGATGAGTACATCTCCATACTTCCCGCCACAGGGCACCACATAAATCTTCGGAACTGCTAGACTTTAGGCCCTGGGCCTGCTCCTGCCTATCCCAGCCCTGCTTAGTGGCAGAAACCAAACCACTTCATCAGCAGGAACTTTTAAAAAAAGTCTTTATTTAAATTCCAGGCAGTTACCATACAGTGTAATATTAGTTTCAGATGTACAATTTAGTGATTCATCACTTATGTACATCACTTGGTGCTCATCAGGACAAGCGCCCTCCTTTGTCCCCATCACCTGTTTGACCCATCCCCCACCCACCTCCCCTCTGGTGACCCTCTGTTCTCTGTAGTTAAGAGTCTGTTTCTTCCTT